CCCATTTCTGCATTAAGGATGTTGATGGGTTACTTGATTTTCTGTCTGCACTGGCGGAATGATAATCAAAAAGTAATCTTTGCATAAATGCTTTAAAACAGTCGTTTGTCTTTAAGTTTGGAGCTGTATCTTATTTTAGATGGATGGTGCTGGTCTTCAAACAACGTCTTAAAAGCATTTTTGTAGCAAAACTTAACAGGGGTATGCTACATTGCTATGCAGTGCTGAAAGGAAGAGTTACGAAAGACCTAGAGGACAAGGTGAGAAGGAGAATGACACACCACAACGTGATTGTGAGTGCAAATGGTGATGAATACCAGTTCAACATAGACACCCAATCATCAATTGTGCCCAATGTCAAGATGCTGTATGTCGAGGAGTTTAGCAGCAGGATACTGGCCCATCTTGATGGCTTAGAGGAGGGTCTGTCTATGCTAGGCGAGCTTGCCAATGACCATCGTCTGGATTACTTGAGAAATGATGTCTTGCGGGCCGAGGATTTTGAAAGCATCGAACCAAAGCCGTGGAAGGAAATATCTGACGTTTTAGACGAGCACATCAAAGTTGGATGCGAAATATATTGCTTAGGAGATTACTATGACGACGAGCAGAGCAGAACCCACATTCCCCATGGACTAGTTCTACGACAGCAGCACGAATATCTCCCTCCCAGAGGCATACACGATGCACATATGAACCAAGGGACTCCCCTCACTATGCCACAATGCAGACATAATGGAGTCTACCAGGATGGGGCAGTACTCATAAGAACTGCCGATAACAAGATGAAGGGTCTGTTTTTCGTGTTTACATCACAGTCCCTACGCACCGATGAATCTGGCAACCCAATTACTAATAAATGATTTGTGTTGTCCACACGATCTAATTTAATAATTTGAATTTTCCTGTAAATTTGAATTCTACTCATCGCACTTGCATATTGAACACATATCTTAACAATATATCAGTAGTTTTCCAAATTGGAGATGTGGATTGGATAAAAGTATCGTTTTATACAGAGTCATACCCAACATGGAGACTATCTAAGGAATAAAGATGAAATTCATGAAGTCGTGGCAATGAAGCTGTATTATCATTGTAATAAAGTATGTGGTGAGCTTTAAATGAGGATGGTAGTTTCAAAGAAGAAGTAATTCAAAAGCTGAGGAATTCCTATGGGATCCCTACTCACTAAAATCCAATCTTTATCTAATCTCGGTATCTGGCTTCGAATTTGATCATATTCCAATCAAGGCATGGAAGTTCCTCACTGATCATTGTGGGACTACGTACTTGAGTATATCAAAAACGACGACTATTGACATTTCTGCACTGAACAGTCCAGATCTCAGTAAGATAACAATGTTGGCTTTGTTTGATGTTGGACTGACAGAAATACCATACTTATCTAATCTCACAGATCTTAAAAGTCTCTACTTGGGTAGTAATGGGATTGTGCGTTCCAGTTTTCGAAGCTTCTTTAATGCTGAGACAGGCAGATACAGAACTATGCCAAAGTTGAAATATCTAGGTTTAAATGGAAATAATATATCAAAGGTTGATGCAAGTATCAAAGATGTTTTCCCAAATCAATTAATGGTAATAAGTCTGGATGAGTTAGGGCTGTGTTCTATACATGGTAATATGAAGGATAAACTGGATAAAGTAGGTATTCAGCTTGTTGAACCAGATGAGAAGAGTGATTCGGATGTCAAGAACTAATTAAATTTGTCTTTAATACTTATTAAAAACACTTTAATACTCTTTAAACTTTGTCTTCTACACCAATATTCTATTTTTCTATATGGTTCATTCGTGTGGCGAAGTGGGAG